CCTTGGGCTAAGAGGATTTGTATTACTTTTTTTTGAAGCAGAGTCCTGCTCTGTCGCCCAGGCTGGAGTGCGGTGGTGCAATCCCGGCTTGCTGCAACCTCCACCTCCCAGGTTCAAGTGATTCTCCTGCCTCAGTCTCCTGAGTGCACACTACAGGTGCATGCTACCACACCTGGCTTATTTTTTGTAGTTTTAGTAGAGACAGGGTCTCACCATGTTGCCCAGGCTGGTCTCAAACTCCTGAGCTCAGGTAATCTGCCCACCTTGGCTTCCCAAAGTGCTAAGATTGTAAGAGTGAGCCACCTCCCCCAGTCCCTGGGACTTCTTATACAGGTTTTGTTTGCTTGCCACCACTACACTCCCCTTCCCTTTTAATTTATTTTGAATAGATAATGCAGTCACGTGTTTCAAAAAATCATAAAATGTAAGGTGTACAGTGAAAAGTTTTCATCCTTTTCTTCTCCCTTATCTGCCCAGTTTATCTTTGCGTGCACACACACACACACACACACACACGCGCGCGCGCGCACCTTTATCAGTCCGTTTACCCTTTCAGAGATTATACAAATGTCAGCAAATACAGAATCTTCTCAGACCTCTTTTTTTTTTTTACAGAAGAAGTGGTAAACTGTTGTGCACCTTGCATTTTTTATTCAACAATGAAAACAGGTTCCTTGTTCTTTGTCATGACTGTGTAGTATTCTATGGTGTGGAGGTGCCAAGTTTATTTAACCAGGCCCCTGTAGAAAGACATTTGAAGGTGTTAGAGACAAAATTAAAAATAAGATATAATCCAGAAAACCTTTCCAAAAAAGTAGAAGAGAAAACAGTTTTATTCTTAAATAAGCATTAAACCACACTGCAGGGGTCATCACAGGCAATCCACAAAAGAGATTACAAAGAGAAATAAATTTCATCCTTGTATATAGCCAAGCAGGTATAACCTATTGCATATATGTCCTCAAATAATAACTCGGGGGCCGGGCACGGTGGCTCACGCCTGTAATCCCAGCACTTTGGGAGGCCGAGGCGGGTGGATCACGAGGTCAAGAGATCGAGACCATCCTGGTCAACATGGTGAAACCCCGTCTCTACTAAAAATACAAAAATTCAGCTGGGCCTGGTGGCGTGTGCCTGTAATCCCAGCTACTCAGGAGGCTGAGGCAGGAGAATTGCCTGAACCCAGGAGGCGGAGGTTGCGGTGAGCCGAGATCACGCCATTGCACTCCAGCCTGGGTAACAAGAGCGAAACTCCGTCTCAAAAAAATAAAATAAAATAAAATAAAGTAATAATAATAATAATAATAACTCGGGCCGGACATGGTGGCTCATGCCTGTAATCCCAACACTTTGAGAGACCAAGATGGGCAGATCACTTGAGGTCAGGAGTTCGAGACCAGCTTGGGCCAACATGGCAAAACCCCATCTTTACTAAAAATACAAAAATTAGCCGGGTGTGGTGGTGCGTGCCTGTAGTCCCAGCTCAGGAGGCTGAGGTGGGAGGACTGCTTGAACCCGGGAAGCAGCAGTTGCAGTGAGCTGAGATCACACCACTGTACTCCAGCCTGGGCAACAGAGCAAGACTCCATTTCAAAAAAAAAAAAAAAGCCCTCAAGTCAGATGACCACTCTGCACCATTTGCAGCATGTTTTATCCTGAATTCACCTGGTAATTGGAGTGGGCATCTGTGTTAGCTAATTGTCTTTATCCAGAAGAAACAGAAACTCATATCTTTATGATGGATGATGGATTGTTTTGCAACTTGAAACCTGATACTGAAGTCAGGCTCCTAGCCTCCTGGGAGACTGGGTGATAAGGGTGCTATCTTGATGTTTACCTTCCAAACAGATGCCTCTGAGGCCCCTGGGAAAACATTCCTGGCTTGTAAAACTGGCAGGAGGCTCATTTGACATTTAAAAAGACACACGTCTTAAAGGAACAGAGAAATAATCAAGTTTTCCAAAGTGTTTGCTCTAGATTATTTAAGAACAGGATGTCTCTTTCCTTTTCTGCACCAGAGAGAATTATTTTATTTTATTTTTTGTATTTGCCCTTACAAAAGCATTTGGGTTTCCAGTCAGTCCCTCCAACAGGAAGGATGTTGGAGTGGATAATGATCAAGGAGTTTCTCTGTACTGGTGTAGGAAGTTGCCCCAGAATTAATTATATGTGCACACACACAAAGTAGATGCAGAAGAGGAGGTGGAGTGTGGCGCTGTCTGTGCTAATGTGGCCTGACGAGGACCAGGTGGAGGGCGCATGGACATTTGGAAAAGGCTCTTCTCTGGTTTTGCTTTCCTGCACCATCCTTGGAAGACTTTTTTTTTTTTAAGATGTCTCTGTTGCCAGGCTGGAGTGCAGTGACACGCTCTTGACTCACTGCTACCTCCAAATCCTGGGTTCAAGAGATTCTTCTGCCTTGGCCTCCCAAGTAGCTGGCACTACAGGCGCATGACACTAATTTTTGTGTTTTTAGTAGAGACGGGGTTTCACCATGTTGGCCAGGATCTCTTGACCTCGTGATCCACCCACCTCAGCCTCCCAAAGTGCTGGGATTACAGGCGTGAGCCACCGTGCCTAGCCCATCCTTGGAAGTCTTCAGCCCTTACGGTACAGTGCAAGATCCAGCTCTTAGCCTTCTCAGCACATGAGGATGAGAAAAGCACCTCCCCCCAGGACTGCTGTGAGGATGCACCGAGCTACTATGTGCAAAGTGCTTGGCACCACACTGGGAAACAGTAAGTGCTCAATAAATATCATCGAAAAGCTGTCTCACTTTGTGAGGATATCCACCACAGACCCTTGATGTCCCCAAACTACACTCTGCCTGCCCTGGCTCTACCCCCAGCTGAAATGCAGTTTTGAGGCAGGCCTGAAACATGTGATGTTCCTACAGACACCAAGTGACCAGCTAGGTAAATTCTCTGAAGAATGAGATCAGGGCTGGATGTGGTGATTTACATGTATAATCCCAGCACTTTGGAAGGTTGAGGCAGGAGGATTGCTTGAGCCCAGGAGTTTCACACCAGCCTGGGCAACATAACCAGACCCTGTCTCTACAAAAACTACAGCAATTAGCTAGGCATAGTGGCACATGCCTGTGGTCCCAGCTACTCACAAGGCTGAGTGGGAGGATTGCTGGAGCCCAGGTCAAGGCTGCAGTGAGCCATGATGGTGCCATTGCACTCCAGCCTGGGCAACAGAGCGAGACACCATCTCAAAAACAAAAGAGAGAGAGAGAGAGAGATCAGAACTCCAGACTCAGTCACTCAGTCCAAGGGTTGGGCTTTCCCAAGGATGCTCCTGCAAGCTGGTATCTCAAGGCAAGTATGAGAGAAGGATGTGAGGTAAGGCAGAAGGTGCCTTCCAGGAGGAAACTGCAATTTGAAGGCCAAGTGGTAGAGCCAGCAGGATGCATTCAAGTGCCTGAAAGGAAGCCAGGGTGTGGATCCAGAGAGAGACACAGGATACCTGGAAAGCCAAGATCATGGAGCGATGGAGGGCTGCTTTGGCCTGCATGACATTGAAAGGGACCACACCAGATGCAAGCAGGCTCAGAAGCCACTGCAGCCATCCTGGAGAGAAATAATGTCATCCTGGGTAATCGCCCAAGGGGTTCACTTTACCTGCTCCCTAGACAAAGCTGGTTCATCAAGACAGGGGACTTGCAATAGAGAAAGAGTAATTCACACAGAACCAGTTGTACGGGAAACTGCAGTTTTATTCCTCAAATCAGTTTCTCTAAGCATTCAGGGAGCGGAGTTTTTAAGGGTAACTTGGTGGGTGGGAAGAAGCCAGTGAGCCAGGAGAGCTGATTGGTCAGAGATGAAATCACAGGGAGTGGAAGCTGTTCCTGTGCTGAGTCAGTTCCTGGGTGGGGGCCACAAGAACAGATGAGCCAGATTATTGATCTGGGTGGTGCCAGCTGACCCATCAAGTGCAGGGTCTGAAAAATATCTCAAGCACTGATGTTAGGAGCATTTTAGGGAGGGTGGAATCTTGTAGTTTCCAGCTGCATGACTCCTAAACCGAAATTTCTAATCTTGTAGCTAATGTTAGTCTTACAGAGGCAACTTAGTCCCCAGGCAAGAAGGAGGTCTGCTTTGGAAAGGGCTGTTACCTTCTGTTTAAAGTATAAACTAAGCCCAGGTAGTGGCTCATGCCTGCAATCCCAGCACTTTGGGAGGCCGAGGCAGGTGGATCACAAGGTCAGGAGTTCGAGACCAGCCTGGCCAACACGGTGAAACCCCACCTCTACTAAAAATAAAAAAATTAGCTGGACACGGTGGTGCATACCTGTAATCCCAGCTACTAAGGAGGCTGAGGCAGGAGAATCGCTTGAACCCGGAGGCGGAGGTTGGAGTGAGCTGAGATGGTGCCACCGCACTGCAGCCTAGGTGACAGAGTGAGACTCTGTCTCAAAAAAATAAAATAAAAATAAAGTATAAACTAAGTTTCTCCCAAAGTTAGCTCAGCCTCCGCCCAGGAATGAACAAGGACAGCCTGGAGGTTAGAAACAAGATGGAGTTGGTTGAGTTAGATCTCTCACTGTCTCAGTCATAATTTTGCAAAGGTGGTTTCGACAGGGCCCTGCACTGGGCGAGTGGTGCACTGGGCCAACCTATCACATCGACCAAAATGATGTTCTTTTTGATCTCCTAAGAATGTTTTTCAGGATGTTGGTGACCAACTGAGCAAAGAGACGCTGCAGGAAAAGGAGAAACAGCTCTTCCTCCCTCCCAGGCCAGCAGGTGGGAGCTGAGAGAACATGCGTGTGGTGAGGTGGGGTGGGGGCTCAATCTCTGCCCTGGGAGCCCACAGCAAGAGTGACTATTCTGGTTTAAAGCTGCCCACTCAAACCCCCAAAGTGGAGGTCTCAGGGACATTCCCTCCTGCCATTTTGCTGGGGTGGTATACTCTGGGAGACTTTAATTTTATTTTCTTTGAGATGGAGTCTGACTCTATCACCCAGACTGGAGTGCACTGCATGATCTGAGCTCACTGCAGCCTCCACCTCCTGCGTTCTTCTGCCTCAGCCTCCCAAGTAGCTGGGATTATAGTCACCACCACCACGCTCGGCTAATTTTTGTGTTTTTAGTAGAGACAGGGTTTTGCCATGTTGGTCAGGCTGGTCTCAAACTGCTGACTGACCTCAAGTGATCTGCTCGCCTAAGGTCTCCCAAAATGTGATTACATGCATTAGCCACCGTGTTGGGCCACTGGGAGGCTTTCAGAACTGCCTGGAAACCAGAGCCAGAAAAGTGAAGCCTAGGGAACCCACCCACAGAGGGGCCACCCATCCTGGCTCCCTGCTGTGCTTGACCCGGTCAGCCCTGCCCTAGGTTTGGGCAAATCTACCCCCAGCTCAGGAATCCTGGCCCCAAGCCCAGTTTCTTCCCTGCCCTGCCCTGTCCTTCCCTGGGTTAGGGAGAACCCTTTGCCTCAGGGCACACTGCTTCCAGTGGCCGTGGCTTGACTTATACCTTTTAACCCTTTCTCTACAATGGCCTGTGGGTCTGCATGTGTGTCCCAGACTCTACAATTGGGGTCACGTGCTGACAGTGGTCCTTGCTCTTCAAGTCTCTGAGCTCTCAAAGGGAGAACCTGAGTTTGAATTGTTCACTGTGAACAACACACCCCCACCCCAGCCCCCTGCCACCCCCGAGGCTCAGCCTCAGATAGGAGTTAGGCAGGGCTGGTTTTACAAGGTTCATGTCACAAAGACCTTGCTGATAAAAGAAGCTGGTCAGATCCAGCCAAAACCAAGATGGAGATGAAAGCAACCTCTGGTCATCCTCACTGTTCATTATAATTATAATGTATGCTAATTGTAATATATTAGCATGCTAAGAGACACTCCCACCAGCGCCATGACAGTTTCCAAATGCCATGGCAACAGCCAGAAGCTACCCTACATGGTCTAAAAGAGAGGAGGAACCCTGAGTTCCAGGAATTCACCACCCCTTTCCTTGAAAACTCATGAATAATCCACACTCTGTTTAGCATATGATCAAAAAATAGCCATAAAAGTAGCCAGCAGACCTCAGGACTGCTCAATGGAGTAGCCAGCCTTTTATTCCTTTAATCTTTTTTTTTTTTTCTTTTGTGAGACACATTCTGGCTCTGTCACCCAGGCTGGAGTGTAGTGGCACAATCTTGGCTCACTGCAGCCTCCACCTCCCAGGCAGTCCTCCTGCCTCAGCCTCCTAAGTAGCTGGGACCACAGGTGCACCCCACTGCACCCAGCTAATTTTTGTGTTTCTTGTAGAGACGGGGTTTTGCCACATTGGCCAGGCTGGCCTTGAACTCCTGACCTCAAGTGATCCTCCCGCCTCGGTCCCAAAGTCCCAAAGAGGGACTTTGTTAAACTTGCTTTCGCTTTGTTGATTTACCCTTGAGTTCTTTCCTGTAGGAAGCTAAGAACCCCTGTGGCCTTCCAAGCTGAACTCTAATTTTGTGGTTCACCCTGTGACAAGCCCAGTGCCCTGCTCTGAGAAAGGCTCAACAAATAATAGTGGTAAAGCCAGGTGAAATGGCTCACACCTGTAATCCCAGCATTTTGGGAAGCCGAGGTGGGTGGATTGCTTGAGTCCAGGGGTTCGAGACCAGCCTTGGGCAATGTGGTGAGAACCTGTCTCTACTAAAAGTACAAAAAATTAGCGGGGCATGGTGGTGTGCACCTGTAGTCCCAGCTACTCAGGAAGCTGAGTAGGAGGCTTGCTTGAGCCCAAGAGGTCCAGGCTGCCGTAGGCCCTGACTGTGCCACTGCACTCTAGCCTTGGTGACAGAGCTAGACCCTGTCTCAAAAAAAAAAAAAAAAAAAAAATAGTGGTAGGCAGAATGGCTCCCTAAGATGTAAACACCCTAATTTTTGGAATCCCTGATTGTTACATTGCATAGCAAAAAGGACTTTGCAGATAGAATGAAGGTTATGGACTTTAAAATAGGGAGATTATTTTGGATTATCTGAGTGGGCCCAATCTAATCACACGAGCCCTTAAAAACAGAGAGTCACAAGAGATTCAGCGAAGGAGGTGAGAAGGTGGAAGCTGCAGGAGGAACCGTCAGGGAGATTCCAAGGGTAAGAAGGATTTGAAACGCCTGGTGTTGCTAGCTCTGGATATAAGAGAGGCCCCTGCACAGGGACCTAGAGAATCAGGAGCCCCAGGAGCTAAGGGCGGCCCCAGCTGACAGCCAGTGAGGAAGTGGGAACCTCATCTGAAACCACATGGAACTGGACTCTGCCAGCAACCTGCAGGAGCTTGGAAGCAGATTCTTCCCCAGAGCCTCCAGCAAGCCGCACCACCCTGCTGACACCCCGATTTTAGCCCTGAGAGACCTGGATCTGACGTCTAACCAACAGAACTGTGAAATACTAAATTTGCATTGTTTTAAAAGTTGTTGTTTACTGGCCACGTGTGGCAGCAGCAGTAGAAAACTGACACGATGGTGCACCCTCCCCAGTTCTCCCAGCCCCTGGAGCTTGTGAAATGCGCTCAATTCTCATCAGGACAGCCCCACATCACATTGCAGTGGTGGAGACAGAGTTGGGGGAATGATGGAGCCAGGATCCCGCAGAAAACAGGTTGCAGAATCTGCACACAAAGCCCACTTTAGTTGGCTTTGGATCCAGGGTTCTTTCTGAAGAGCTGTTGGCATAAACACTGAGTACCACATTTCAGATGTGTCCTGGAGAAAGGGGGTTCAGAAACACAAAATCAGGCCCATTCCGCACTGAAGACAGAAGGAGACATGCCATCTGAAGGAGACCGAATGGCTCTTATGCTTCCTCGGGGTTGGTCAGCCCCAGAATAGCCAAGCATCTATCCTGTCCATCCACACTGAGACCCACCATGAACTGCATGGCTTTACAGAGGCTTCCCACTGCTTCTCTTCCTGGTCGGTCACAGGCAAGGGTACGAGGCCATTCCTGCTGTCCTCTGCTGAAGGCCAACCCCATCCCATGTCTTGGGCTCTTTCTGAGGCTGTATTTATTTAATTATTGCAGAAACTCTACGAAATTCCTCCTGTTGTTATCAGTCCTATTTTGCAAATAAAGAAACTGAGGCACAAAGAGGGCCAGTATCTTGGTAGGTCACAGCCAGTGAGTGGCAGAACCAAGACTCAGACCCACGCTGCCTAGGTTTGGCATCCCATGGTCTTTCTGTGCCAGAGACATGAGCCTCAGCATGTGAGTTGGTGGGAAAACCTTGATGGAAGGCAAGCACTGGCTTCAGATGGGGAAACCAAGTCACAGAGCAATTAAAGCTCCTCCCTGGCCCATCATCTTCTGGCTTGACCTTGAAAAGTTGAAATCCACTTCCATGGCATCTCCATCACACTCCCCCTTCCCCAGCGACACGCAAACAAACTCCTTCAGAAGGGAAGAGAAGTTAAGGGCTCTTCTATGGGCTGGGCGCGGCGGCACACACCTGTAATCCCAGCACTAGGAGTCTGAGGTGGGCTGAACACTTGAGGCCAGGAGTTTGAGACCAGCCTGGGCAACATGGTGAAATTCTGTCTTCACTAAAAATACAAAATAAAGTTGAGCATGGTGGTGGGCACCTGCAATCCCAGCTATTTGGAGGTTGAGGCATGAGAATCGCTTGAACCAGGGAAATGGAGTTTGCAGTGAGTCAAGATCGTGCCACTGCACTCCAGCCTGGACAACAGCGCAAGACTCTGTCTCAAAAAAAAGAAAAGAAAGAAAGAAATTAAATGTTCTTCTAGAGCTCTTCTAGACAGGATGTGATTTACACACAGAGAGATGAGACTAATGGCGTCACTTTGAGAATGACCAGCAAAGGATCTGAAAATTGCTGGAGAAGTCGCGTCATGTACTTTGCCTTGCAGTTCTGTTTTTGTAATGGGATAGCCTTTCCTGATTCTCTTTGTGATGCTTTCAGGAAGCAAATCCCGGGAAATGCTGTGATTGGCAAATATTGGATGTGTTGCCGGGACTCTAACTTTCATTTGGAAACTGCGGTTGAGCACCTGGCTACGAGGCATGCCTTAAGAAAGAAGGGCTGCCCTTGGCAGGGCATGGTGGCTCACACCTGTAATCCCAGTACTTTGGGAGGCCAAGGCAGGCAGATCACTTGAGGTCAGGAGTTTGAGACCAGCCTGGCCGGCATAGTGAAACCCCACATCTACTAAAAATACAACAAATTAGCTGGGCATGGTGGCATGTGCCCGTAATCCCAGCTACTCAGGAGGCCGAGGCAGAAGAATTGCTTGAACCCAGGAGGTGGAGGTTGCAGTGAGCCAAGATCGTGCCACTGCACTCCAGCCTGGGTGACAGAGGGAGACTCCATCTCAAAAGAATGGAACAGGCCAGTGTCCTCTCCCAGAGTTCAGTGGTTAGAATCTAAGACACAAATTTTTCCCGCTTGTTGGGGAAAAATATTATCACTGAGAGAATAAAGGTGAATAGCACTCCTAGTTGCCACAATATGCATTCTCCTGTTTCTTTCATAGTCATAGAGCCCCTGATTTTTCACTGGGCATGAGGCAGCCCAGAGGAAAGACCACATTTCCCAGGCTTCCTTCTGCCCAGCACAGCCATGTGACTACATTTAGACAAATGAGATGTGATAAAGAATAATGTGTGGAAGCTCTAGGTTGTATACTTAGAGGGTCCTCTACTTCCCATTTTCCCCTTCTTGCTGGCAGGAAACAGATGTCATGGCTAAATCTGGAGCATCTGTCTTGGACCATGAGGAGGAAGCCAAGAGTTGAAAATAATACATATGCATATATACACTCAGTCACACAGGGTACAGACTGGAAAGATACATGTCAAAATGTTAGCCTAGTTAGCTCTAGGGGAGGGGAGGAATCTCAGGTGATTTTCTTTTTCTTCTTGGTACTTTAGTTATTTATTTTTGAGACCCAGTTTCATCTTGTCGCCTAGGCTGGAGTGCAGTGGCACAATCTCAGCTCACTGCAACCTCCACCTCCTGGGCTCAAGCAATTCACATGCCTCAGCCTCCCGAGTAGCTGGGATTACAAGAACCTGCCACCACACCCCGTTAATTTTTGTATTTTTATTTTTATTTTTATTTTATTTGTTTGTTTGTTTGTTTTGAGACAAGTTTCACTCTTGTTGCCCAGGCTGGAGCGTAATGGCACGATCTCAGCTCACCACAACTCCACCTACCGGATTCAAGCAATTCTCCTGCCTAGCCCCCCAACTAGCTGGGATTACAGGCATGCACCACCACACCCGGCTAATTTTGTACTCTTAGCAGAGACGGGTTCACCATGTTGGCCAGGCTGGTCTCGAACTTCTGACCTCAGGTGATCCACCCACCTCAGCCTCTCAAAGTGCTGGGATTACAGGCATAAGCCACTGCGCCCGACTGGGACTTTATTGTACTCTGAATTTTTCTTTGAACATGTTTCAAAATCCAACAAAAATAAAGAAAAGTAAGAAAGGAAGACCCCTATAAATAGATCCTATTGTTTAATTCACCTAGATTTGCTTCAGATCAGCCTCCAGAGGTCACAAACACGCACGCTTGGACTTAGATTTTTTGGAATATTTGGCAGTATTTTCTGTGGGTTATGGAACCTTTTTTTCAGATGTTCTTTTTACTGAGCAGAATGTCTTGGAGATGGTCCCACATCCTATGTATAGCGTGACCTCATTTCTTGTAACCAGCACAAAGCACTCCTTGGCTGGGCATGCTGGGGTTTACTGGGTGGCCCCTGTTCGTGGACATCTGCACTGTTTCTGATTTTAAGCTACTGAAAACAATGCAGCGACGAACGTTCTGATACCCGCCTCTCTGCAACCAAGTGAGGCTTTGGAGTCTTACATATGGGTGACCCTCTCATGTGGGTTCTAATCTGGCTTCCCTGCTTATTTGTTGCATAACCCTCAGGCAACTTACTGTGCATCTCTGAGTCTCTGCCTCTTCATCTATAAAATAGGAAAAATAACAAGCCTGACCCATAAAATTATTGTGAAGATAATAACAACTGAAATTGATCATGTGTTTACTGCATGCCAGGCACTTTTCTAAGTGCCTCCCCTGAATTAACTAATTTAATCCTCATAACAGGATGACATGAGGTCATGCTTAGACAGTTGTCCTGAAAGTTTCTTTAGAAGCTTTTGGCTTTCAGACAACCAGCACGAAATCCTCTGGCTAAATTTTCATATGGAATCCTTCCACTGACTTTTTAGGGTTGGTGGATGTATTAGTCTATTCTTATACTGCTAATAAAGACATACCCAAGACTGGGTAATTTATAAAGGAAAGAGGTTTAGTGGACTCACAGTTCCACATGGCAGGGACGGCCACACAGTCATGGCAGAAGATGAAGGAAGAGCAAAGAGTCATTGTCCATAGTGGCAGGCAAGGGAGCTTCCCTTGATAAAACCATCAGATCTATTGAGACTTATTCACTATCACGAGAATAGCACAAGAAAAACCCACCCCATAATTCAATTACCTCCAATGGGGTCCCCTCCATGACACGTGGATAGTATTACAATTCAAGGTGAGATTTGGGTAGGGACACAGAGCCAAACCATGTCAGTTGGACTTGTAGACCTTATCAAGTGCAAACATTCTCTGGAGTAAATTTTTTTTTTTTTTTTTTTTTTTTGAGATGGAGTCTCGCTCTGTCACCCAGGCTGGAGTGCAGTGGATCTCAGCTCATTGCAACCTCCACCTTCCAGGTTCAATTGATTCTCCCGCCTCATCCTCCCGAGTAGCAAGGATTATAGGTACACACCACCATGCCCAGCTAATTTTTGTATTTTTTTAGTAGAGAAGTTGGTTAGGATGGTCTCGAATTCCTGACCTGAGGTGATCCGCCCGCCTCAGCCTCCCAAAGTGCTGGGATTATAGGTGTCAGCCACCGTGCCCAGACCCCTTTTGTGTTTTTAGTAGAGATGAGGATTCACCATCTCAGCCAGGCTGGTCTTGAACTTCTGACCTCGTGATCCACCTGCCTTGGCCCCCCCAAAGTTCTGGGATTACAGGCATGAGCCACCACGCCCAGTCTCTTAATGGCCACACATTCCTCCTAACCCCTATCCATGCCCCTTTGTAATGTGACTCTGCTATTCCTCCCATCCAAGGTGGAGTCGGTTTCTCCACTGTCTTGAGTCTGAGTGAGCCATGTGACTTGTTTTGACCAATAGCATGTGAAAGAAGTGACATCATGTGAGTTTTAGAGCCTATGCCTCAAGAGACCTTGCAGTTCCAGTCTTGGGCTTGGACCCTTGATCCTTGGGCCTCTATGTAAGGGATGATGTCTGACCTAACAGAGCAAGCCTGACCACAAGGAGGAGAGCACAGACACTCCTGCTTACAATCAGCACCAATTGCCAGTCATGTGGATGAGGTCATGTTGGACCTCCCAGTCCCCCAACCCTCATCTTAAATTTTTTGGAAGAGTTTGAGAAAGATTGATGATAGTTCTTTAAATGTGTGGTAGAATTCACCAGGGATTTGTCAAGGATTTTT